CAGGGCCTTGCTGTTGGCTGTGCTGCTGAGGCCATTGCATGCGCCCGCGTGCTGCGGCGGCTGCAGCAGCAAATTAGTGCTGCTGCTGCTAGGCCTTTTGAAGAGGAAATCAACAGGCAGTAGGTTTGCTGCTGCTGATGACGCTGCTGCTGCTGCTGCTTCTTTACCTGACGCTGTTCTTCGTCCTGTTACCGCTGCTGCTGGTTCTGCTGCTGCTGCTGCTGGCCGCAACGGCTGCTGCTGCTTCGGGCTTTGTCCCTGCAGCTGCTGCAGCTTGCTTTGCAGCTTAGTGTGAAGCGCGGAGCCGCTGCTGCTGCTGCTGCTGCTGCTGCTGCTGCTGCAGCTCGAGCGTCTTCTCCGTGGACCTGCGGAAAGCCCTGCGGCTTCTAGTGGCTCCTGAAGATGGTTTGCTGCTGCAGATCCACATGCGGCTGCTGCCTGCTGCTGCTGCTGCTGCTCTTGCGGGGGTAATGCGCAAAGCCTTCCGCTGCTACATCCGCTGCGTCTGGCTCACCAGGCCTAGGAGGTCCGTCTGCTGCTGCTGTTGCTGCTACTGCTGCTGCTGCTGCTGCTGCTGCCTCCTGTGTTCTTCTCGCTGCTGCTGCTCTACCCTTTCTCGTCGGTGTTGCTGGGGTTGTTACTGCTGCTCCTGTTGCTGCTTCTGCTTCCTGTGTTTTCGCTGCTCTTGCTACTGCTATTGTCGCTGTTGCTGCTCCACTGCCTCTAGATTTGCGGGGCTGCTGCAGCAGTTGCTGCCTCCCATGTCCTCGTATTTCGTTTTTGTTTACCAGTCTGTTGGGGGCAAACGGCGGCTGCTGCTGCTGCTGCTGCTGTGATTGTCATGGAGGGTTTCTTGCAGTGCATTTGGTGTGCCTCTGCAGCAACCAAGGCGAAGATTTCGCCCGCCGTTTGCTGCTGCAGCTGCAGCAAGACAGCGCTTTGTTTTTTAGGGCTTTTTCAGGTTTTGTTGGGTCTCATGCAGCAGCAACGGAGCGGCAGCAGCAAGCAGCAGCAGCAGCAGCAGCAAGGACTCTGGGACACCATTTGCTGCTGCTTCACCTGCTGCAGCAGTTCTTGATGTCCCCAGCTGCTTCAGCCCAAGACCGCCTGCTGCAGTTGATTGGGTGTATTGCTGGCAC